TCCCTTGTCCCCTTTTGGAGCTGAACCAACATTCATCTTAGACCCTTTACTTGTTTTTCTTTGCTGTTTATGTTTGTTGCTTGTTTCTTTCAAATCTGTTATGTGTTATGTCAACGTGAGGTGTGGAGGTGCTGTTAAGTGGTTTGAGGGGTGTATAATCTTTGGCTGGGGTTTTGGTCTGGATTCTCCAATCTGCTGGTGGGTGGTGCATATTACAAGTTTTGCAGGATTGAGTCTTATGAAATGTTAACATGATTTCGACCTTGAGGCAACTTTTCATGCCTTACCCGTTTGGCGATCTTTTTCTAACAATCTCATTATTTAAAGGGCAGCCCTCTCTGATAGTAGACGCATCAAAGCGTTGCGGGTCAATTTCTTACTTGCTTTGATGCTACACATCCGCGTGATTGCAAGTTTATACGCATGTTAATTTTTTTATCTGATTTAATAGTTGACCAACTTGGTTTAGCATCTTGCTACCTTCTATTAGTTGAGTATTTCTTCAAGTTCTGTTGTTGCTTTGCCTTCACAGCTTGGCTAATTCAATTGTTTGCGACGTGTTATATATCTTCAAGAATTTTGCTATTTTGGACATGTTATGTGTCTTGAAGAATTGGACTCTCTAATTTTTTGCTGATTATGAACGTTTGGTAGCGATTTTTTCTTTGATTGTATTTTTCTCTTTTTGCTGATTATGGACGTTTGATAGGGATGCAAAACAAATTAAGAGATTCAATTACGTGTTGATGCGCACCGTTCTATTCAAAGGTAGGTTATCTACATTAAAATTAAGCAATTAATGAAAAATTATCTCATTGTTAGACTTTTCAAAAAATTAAATTTTAATTAATAAAGTAAGAAGTAAGTGTCTTATCAATTAAGCTAATGCTGATTGCGTGTGTGTTCTCTCCTTTACAATAAAGGGCAACTGCCACTTTGACTGGCGCCGAATGGGTACGGGCCTGAGGTGTCTTTGAAACCCAGGCTAAAAACCAAAGCCCACGTAAAGAACACTTCCAGGCCTCGATCTCAACCTCCCGTCAACCTGTGGGATATGACCCCAAACTGGCAAAAAGACGTCCCCTCAACCAAAATTTTTTTGGCTGAACTTACCAAATTTTATTGGTAGAACAATTCCTTAAGCCCCTCAACTTACCCCATTTCAGCTGAAGCTCCAATTTTTTTTACAAAAAATTAGGTAGATTCACCGTTCAACTCAAAGAAAGGCAGCAAATTAACCCATGCTTGACAGGCGTAACTAGTGTAGTAGTTTAAAGAAACGTGGCTGCCTTTAATGCGTTATAAGAAAATAAATTATTGTAATTTTGTCCTTTAATTAATTAAATTTTTTAAAGAGTAAGTCTCTAAACTTTAACAAAATTTTAAAACAACTCTTTTTTGAAGAGTTGAACTTTTTTATTATGAATTTGAGTTTGACATTAATTATCCTATCAAATAATATTAATCAATTAAAAAATCAAAGATATACCAAACACAAATATCAATTTTTACATTGAATTATAAGAAAAATATTTTAATTTTAATTAATTAAGGTAAGGGTATAATCTAAACTCAATTGTATTTTCAATAATAATAATCTTTCTATGTGAATAATCAATATTACATTTTTAATAATAATATCTTGTCTTATTATATTATATATTGTCCTAAAAATTGTTAAAATCCCTCTAAATCTCAAATAATTACTCAATTAATCTTTTAAAATTTTCAATAACAAATTATAATTTTAACTATAAAGACCTCAATTTGATTCCCAAAATTGATTCAGTAGATTAAGAGATGGTATTGTAAGAAGAATTAATGAAAGATGGGAGTACTAATATAGAAGTGAAAAAGTACTAATAAAATTATGTTAAAAAAGTTGTGACTTTTAAGTGTTAACTCATAACATATATAATATAGATAAAAGGAGAGAGAAAAGAAATTAGAATAAAAAAGATATATAATGATCGACGGAGGTATGAAAAGTGATTAAAAAATAATAATATAATGGGAAAATAAGGGGAGAAATAATAATAACAAACAAATTTTAAGGAAATAAATAAAATACAATGATAAAATACATGAGAATAAGCTAAGAGATGATGTTGTAAGAAAGTTTAATAAAAAAATAGAGCATAGGGAAATGAGAAGTACTAAAAAAATAATGTTAGTGAGTAATGCTTTTTATATTTTGATTTAAAACATCCTAATAAGAGAATTCATGAGAGAGAAGACAAACTGAAGTAAAATATATATATATATATATAATAGTAATTGTTATAAATGTAAATATAAAAAATTTTAATAAAGATTTGGTGAATTGCTTTATCATGTTAATTATCTCAAAAAGTTTTAATTAATATAAAAGTTACATATCTTTTTATAATAAATTAATATATGTTTGGCACTCGGACCTCCTGACGATAACTTTAAACCTGTTTGAAAACTGCATCCCTCAAGTTTTTAAATTGGGGTTCGAACCCCC